ATATTGAAAATAACAAGAAATTACCTCATATAGTAAACATGAGCTGCACAAACATGGATGAGCACTACACAGTAGTTAATCTACTGTAAATTCACACCCTATATTACCTTGCAATAACTTGCTTTTTTATTCATTCTTTAAGTAATAAAATGCCTTATTAATGTCCTTATGAACCTCCTCCTTTCAAACCTTTAATTTTAAACTGGCTCATGTACATTCTGTATTATGCATCTTCAGTTACCCACTTGCTATATAGTAAATCGACTAGTTACTTTTTTGTTTGCTTTTTGTCTTTTTTTTGATCTGTAATAAAACTTTCTTTATCATCCTACAGACACCTGTCCATCTTAACAGCACTTGCTGAAATTTGTCAAAAACTTTTTGGAAGTCTGAATATGAACAAGCTACACTCAGGGCTGTTTTTCTGAGTTCAAAGAACTCTAATAGATAGGGCATAATAGACTACTCATTTTCTTATGGCCATTTGAGATCCTTATTAGTCCACTCAGATTAATGCTGGACCCTCAAAGGCACATTTACCATAGAGATCTCTGCTGCTTGCTCCCAGACACACTGGGTAGTTAGAGAGGCACACCTTTCTATTTTTGGATGCTGTGGTGTACTATAGTTAGATTGCACATACTGCAAAAAAATAAGGCAGTGTCTGAAATAGTATGGATAGAGGTACCTAACTCCCACTGTTGTCATAATCCCAAAATGAGCTCTATTATTAGAAGAAAAATAGAAATAGTAGAAAAACACAACTTAATGAAAAGCAAAATGTTCCTACACATGTTGTGTGACAATCTGCAAAGACTGAAAACTGAGTAGAACAAAACTGCTCATCAGTAAGGCTTTACCTTCCTACATCTCCATCTCTCATATGCTAAGAATTGTATATTCTGTGAGTATCAGTGTGGAGTTCCTATCTGATATTTCAGAAGCGAATGGAGAAGACTGACAAGACACAAAGTTGATGTAAACACAAAAATCTTGTTTTCTTAAGAGAACAGATCTTAAACATGTTTTTCAAAGTTCATCAGATACTTAAAATTTTCCCTTTGCACATTAGTATTTTAGTAGTAAATAATAAAGAAGCATCAATAGTATCAATAAAATTATATCAATAAAATAACTCAATAATAAACTAATTTAATAGAGAGGCTAGAAAACAAGGGTGTAAAAGAGGAAATTCAAAACAGGTACTTTGGGCATGGGTAGAAAACAGTGAAGACCAACAGGGATTGGAGAGGGACAGAGGTGGACTCCCAGCCAGAATGACAACGCCACTCCAAGCCCAGCTGCTGAGGCTACATTCCTGGGAACCCCAGAGACTCACACTACTACATGGATACCAGAAGCAATTCTCACAAAAATGGGAATGGAAAATAAGCTTCCCAGCTGCTTTTGGAAGGAGGTATGTATTCAGAGTACCTCAGCCTGCAAGACACAGTTTGGCACAACACAGGGAACCAATGCATGAAGACATTCAACTCTCACATAGAAGTTCTTGCCCTTGGGGAAAAAAAACAAAAAAAACCACACAAACCAAAAACCCCCACAAAAATACAGTCCACAGCAACACCAGTATTTTCGAAAGTCACTCTTTCATATACCACTCCAAATCAATGGTCCTAATCTTATCATGAAACATAATTAAATCCATATATCAAGTCCTTTTCATACCAGCCAGGTACTTTCCAACAAGGTAGACTAACTCCAAGTTTCTGGAATGGCTTTAAACAATTGTACTATTTTTATTATTAGGTAAGTAATGTTCTAATCTTCATGCCAATTTATTTAAGAATGCTTTTTAAAAAATACTATCACATTTCAAGTGGTTTAAACACAGAATTGAAAAGGGGGAAACTAACAATTCAGAGTTTCCAGTCTAGAAATGTATAGGAAAGTAGTGCCCTATTTAATTAAGTGACCCTGATATGAGCCCTTTCTCTACTCTCCTCTGAGTTTTCAACCCCTTAATTCTCCTGTCCTAAAGCCATCAGAGTTTCATAACCCAAAACCCTCAAACACTCCCATCTCAAGCCTTTCCCCCTTTCATCTCATACCAGTCATCTTCCCAGTTCTCTCCAGGTGTTTACTAAATCCTCTCCCACATATTTCTCTGTCTCATCTGCCTCTGCCTTCCCTCTCCTGATTCAGGCTAAATCCTGGTCTGTCTAAATCTAAAACCATGCAGCACTCCCAAGTAGCTTCAACAGTACCTATTCTTCTGCAAATAATTTTCCAAACTGCCAGCCTACTCTGCAATTCCTGCACTTCTACTTATTCAATGCCCCTGTTTCAAATCCACATCCATGTCTGGCAGTTCAAAGTCAGATATCCTGGTTCCAGGTCCCTCAGCAATAAGCCCAAGCCTTGCTGCACTACTATTATGTTTTATTGTATGCTGATACCTCTTACTGCCCTTGTCATGGCAGCCCTGTCTTCTGACAAAACCCCTGGGTCCTTCTTCCAAGACAGGCTTTAAAATCCAGGCTGGATCAAAAAAATAATCAGAGTGACTCTTTAATGACTGACAAAAGAATAGAATGTGTCCATGTGAAAAAAAAACCCAAAAACATAAGCAGTAATTGCATGCTTTAGTTATGATACATTGGGCTTTGCAGATATATCTGAACCTTTCAAAACATCGCTGTTTCAAGTGTGCTTAAAATAATGGTCTCAGCCTAGAAATTGTTATGTGCCATAAATTCAGTACTGAAGAAAGAGATTGCCTTAAAAACTGTTCTCAACTAAACCCAAATTCTCATACTAAATTGAGATGAAATTCAGATTTCATCTCTCCAAAGGCATTATTTAAAAAACATGGCCAGAAAAATCACAGTGGAGAGTAGATGTCTCAAACTGAATGGACACAGGCTCAGGAAGGAAACTCACTGTCAGATAGAACTCCAGCTCTAAACTTCTCATTGACTGGTGAATTCCTTGCTACATGGATCTTTTTCATGATGACAGAAGATGACAAAGATATAACCCAACACATGCTTCTGTATTTCACTACTGAAACAAAGCCTGTGAAAACACTGCATAGCTGAATACAAAATATAGCAGTCAGAAAACCAGCAGTGTCTGCTAGGAGCCAAGCTGCCTTTTGCTTGCTTGTTGCAAAGAGAACTAGCAACATCATTTTCCTGCTTTGCAATTCCCACCTCTTCTGTGGGAAAGTATCTGGGAAAAACCCAGAAGCAAAAGCAATGCAGACACTACATTTACTACACTACATTTACTACATTTTACTACATTTACTACAGCGAATACATTGCTAGGCTACCCTTCACAGCCACTTTACTCTTGAGTATACCTACCCCAACTGACGGACTGCTGGCTGAACAGATTTCAGCTGCCACCACAGTATGCTCCTTTGCCACCCAACACAGCTGTGCTCAGGAAACTGCACTGCCCTTCCCATGCAGATCTTTCTGAATTCCTCTCTTAATTCCCCTTTCCATACTTCCAAATTTATCTAGGAGTAACCAGCCATGGTAGGAATACAGGAGTTTAAGAAGCATTTAATAGCTACACAAATGGCTCCAAAAAGACACATTGAGTTCTCCAGACAGACCTAGCAAACCACAGCAGTTGAAGCAGAATGGGTAAGGAATGATTTTAGGGAAAAAGTCTATGAACTTATTTTTCAAAGTTCTTTTCTGGAAAGATTGAAATGAAATAACTGCGTTTCAATTTTTTCCCCAAGTATTTGTTTTAACCCTTTTATCCAAGGAGGCAGTTTCCACCATATATTTAGCTTTCAATGAATCAGCACTTCCTGAATGAAAATGTTTCACTACCAAAGTTTTTTGAACAGTTTTACTGACACATTTCACTTAAAACCAACTGAGAACCAAACTGACAGCTCTGAGTATTACTAGACAAGCAAACAAGAACAAATTGTCTAAATAGCATCTGGCCTTGTGCAAGACCAGGCCTCAGCATCATTAATATAGCCAGCACTCACATTCTCTCCCAAATCCATCAACAAAAAGGGACTTCATTTTTTGACATATCCTTTAAAAATTGAAGGCCTATCTACAAAGAAAAATCTATTCAGCTTCCTAAAGTTATAAATGTACCCTGCATTTTGAAATAAATATACTGCCAATAGCACAACCAGATATTCAAAATCCAAACATATAAAAATAAAATTGAAAGAAGCAAAGAGAAGAAAATACCAGCAGCTGTTGCAACTATTAAACATGCCTCAGAAAACTAAAAACAAATAAAAAACTGTTAAAACAGTCATTCCAAAATACAAGAATCAAACTAAGACATTCAAATTGTTTGTCTCCAGCAAGTAAAGAGAAAAAAATTACTGTTCAAGGCAAAGTGCCTATGTTAGAAAATCTGCAGTTGGCAGCTTAATTAACTGAAAAATGTTCAACTTGAACAGCTTTGATGAGCTCAACTATAGCATATTATAAATCAAAAAAATTCTTCGTGTGCAGCCATTTAGGACATAATTTAACAAGAAACATGAAACTAAATGGAATTCTACCAGAACTCAATGTACATTTCACGTGTATCATGTTTGACAGAAGAATTATCATTCCCCATGCTAGTAAATACTTCATTATGTCTTTAGAGTGTTATTGGAATATAGAATTTACATCAGAACCCATTCTGAAGATTTTCATTGCCAGCACTGTGATGACACACTGGAGAAATGAGGAAGCAAATTGAGTGGAAGCACAAATCTAAGACTTGGGTGTATTGTCTAGTAAGACAAAGCATGGATTCCATTTTTTATAACATATTTTCTAATCCTCTGCCTTTTCTCCTATAAAATGACTTCAAGATATTCTTGTCATCTCACAGAAAATCAAAATTTTGGTGGTTGTAAACACTTGAAAACAACAGGACGGAGATGAATTTTCGTGAGATTTCCTGCTTGCAGCTATCTCAGTCCAGCCCAGTGCTCACACAGAAACCTGTAACAAACTTCTCCCTTGCACAGGGACTCTACTTCAGTGCTTACATACCTGCTGTGTAAGGACACTGACGTGGCTTGGTGGGGAATACTGGCAGGCTGCTTGCTTTTCTTCCAGCTGCTGCACTTCTGCTGCTGCCACACTGGGGCCATGACTCTTGCCCTGGGAAGAAGTATGCTCTGCATCTTTGTGCATCCTGGCAGAGCCCACACACTGCCCACTTGAACTGCGATGGAGACCTACCAAACAAACATTTCAATGTGCTTAATGAGCAGCATGTCAGACTCTCAGCCTGCTGATCACACACACAAAAGCAGGTAAGATACCAAGAAGAATGCAGAATACATCTATTCTGCATGAGTACTGTCCATATGCACAATGAGCAATTCCAAACCTGTATTCTCTTAATTACAATATATCTAATGGCACCCAATTCCACAGACACTGGAAGCTGTTATCCAAGTTCAATCTGTAAAGTTTTTCCTTTACAACAAAGGGATCTCTAAGTAAGTGTGGAGGGTGCCAAACCACCACATTAAGCTACTCAGTTGAGAAATAAGATGTATTTTAAGGCTAGAAGGGTTGTCAATATATATACAGCAACTCTAGTAAACATGTGCTGACCCTGACACACACCTAGAACAAATAAATACCATCAAAATACAAAAAAATTAGTATTATCAGGATCACAGCTGTTAGCCTGTGTGTGGTTCCCAAAAGTTTCCAAATTGATTACAGTCTGCATGCAAATTCCTACAGTTTCTCCTACCATTCAAGTTCTTTACACTCTAAAGCTTCATTGCTTAACTGTGTTCTACCACAGCATGACAGATGAAAGGTCTCTAAATCTTGTTTTTGGGATACCCTTGGATATGGCAGTGATGAAACACCCTAGAGAATGAGATATTGTAATGATTCATTCAGATTCTTCTTTTCTGGAGGTCTTGACACACCTTTAAGTATCCAGTATGTATGAGGTTTCATTACAAGACTTCTATGCTTGATAGGCAACCAGAGAACTAAGAACAGCACACAGGCTGAGACAGGACTTCTGCTAATGAAAACTACATTAAATCCACTAAAGAAAGATGAGATCAGTAACATAATAAAAAAAATATACAATACTTAATTTCACACCTCTTTATGAACAAGTTCAAAGGCTGACCTCCAAGCACAAGGCTGAGGGGAGACCTTGTCACTATAACTACCCAAAAAGAGGTTTTTGCGAGGCAGGGTCAGCCTCCTCTCCCAAATAGCAAACAACAGGACAAGAGGAAATGGCCTCGAGTTGCACCAGGGAAGGTTTAGATTGAATATTAGGGAAAATTTCTTCGCCAAAAGGGTTGTCAAGCACTGGAACAGGCTGCTAGGAAGCAGCTGAGTCACCATCCATGAAGATATTTAGAAGATATGTAAATGCAGCTTTTAGGGACCTGGTTAATATGCTGGACTTGGTAGTGTTAATTGTTGGACTTGGTGACTTGAAAGGCCTTTTTCAACCCAAACGATTCTATGATTGCCTGTTCATTTGGTCAGTAACAGGATGTCTGCCTAACAAGGGCTGCATCCTGCACTCCTGCTTTCAGTGAGAAATTTAGCACCAACCAACAAGACTCAATTTGGGAAATGTAAAATTTCTACCTACTCCACAACAAAAATTACACAATCTCTGTACTGAACTACCAGGTTGTTATGAACCCCAGTACACTTACCTACTTTTGTAGAGGATGGTTGGGACAATCTTTGACTGTAGATCTGAACAGCTCTCTGAAAGGATGAGAATGGGCCAAAGCTACCAAAACGACGATGTAACCCTGCAAGGCTACAAGTCTCAGTGGACATTGGGTTTGTGAGGACAGAAGAGCTGTCAGGAGCTGTGCTCTGCAAGGAGGGTAGTGGGGGTGAGGACTGAATCAGTCTGGGACCAACTGGAGGAGCCAGCAATGAAGGGTGACCAGCCACATTTAAATTTTCAGAGGCTGCAGGCTGAGATGGCATCCAAGAACTGGTACTTCTCTGGAACGTGGCAGCAGGAACAGAGGAAGAAGAACCAGGAGGGCTGCACTGAGGTAATTTCACTTCAACATTTGAGGAGGCAAGTCCTTCTGGAACTATACAAAGATAATGAACATAATGTATGAGGAAAAATCTGCTTTTTAGGTCCTTTGATAATATCAACATACGAAATGCCTGTATTCAGACACACTGAAGCCAAAATGACCTCATCTACCAGCAGAGACAAGAAGAGGCTCTACATAATAAATATCTTTTTTCAAAGCCTGCCATATCTAGATCATCCCCCCCAGGGAGGGGCAGCTAACTCTTTCCCACTGCCTACCCTACAGTATCTTCTCTTGTGTTTAAAAGTAAAAATTGGGCATTTTGATCTCTCAGTTTGAGCCCAAAGGTTCCAACCTTTGTTTAAAACAGTATAAAAACAGTATATGCAGTCAGTATTTCTTTTTTTATGATTGTTTAAGTCAGTTCACTTACAGCTTGATTTAGCTTCTTTGGGTTTACAGCCTTTTAGTGCTCCTTCTGCAGACAAATCTGCAACTGAACTTTTGGGTTGATCATCTTTCATTTTCTTCACCATCTCAGGTTGCTCTGTAACAAAACCAAGGAGTTAGGAAGTAGAGCATTGGAAATCACCAGAACAAACCTGCAGAATTCACCCGTGTTATAAATGACCTTATTGCTAATACTTCCTGTAGACCACATAGATTCACTGGTGACAATTATGCTGTCATGTACAGGAGCATGAACTACTTGATACATATGGCTAGCACACCCTTCCATGGAGTACCTAATTAGGCTCAAATATACAGTCTCTGCCCTCCAATGGATACACTCACTGCAGGCAGCTTGATTTCATTCATCCCTCGCTTTTATTTCATGATTCTCTGATGACTTCAATTCTTACTGCCTTCAGTTGCACATTCTCATTTCAATCATGAGCTACCATCTCCAGTTCTTTATAAATACCAGTCTAAGTTCAACCCATTTCACTTCAGGCAAAGAAGGCAGGAGTGAAGTTACTCTAGTCTTCACATAAGAATGAGTTAAAAAAAAGACATGCAACCTCAAAAAACCTGAGTAACATTGTGGAGAGATTGTTCTCTTTTCACAGACTTAAGTTAAACTAGATTTGTCTGGGCAACATCATCTCAGAACTGTCTGCAAAACTTACCACCATGGGGCTGCTTCTCTGACTGGTGGTTGGTGTTCCTGTGTTTTGTGCCTGTGTTTTTTGTTCCCAGGAAGACACTTGCTGATTTGTTTTTGTGTGTGTAAAATGTCAGTACTTCCTCCAGGTCACTTTCACTGCAATAAGGAGAGAACAGATGTAGATGAGGACATTAAGCTTTTCTGCATTCATGTAACAAAGACAATAAACAGTAAGGAAACTAAAGAGTGGAGAAAAAAAAAGTAACACTAGACAAACTAATGATTTGCTCAGTTCTACAGGGTAAGAGCAAAGAGCAGAAGGAAGGCAACATGCCCTGGTTGAACCTCAGATTCCCACTAAAACACCATCTTCTTATGCAGTAGAATATTCAAGGCATTCAGGAGCCTTCCCAGGACAAATAAAGAACTAGGGAATACTCCAAACACATCTGGGGAGATTAGCTCAACATGAGAGATTCCATTCACAGCTGAATTTGTGAAACTTCTGCAGGTGCTCTTTAGAATGAGCAGCTACTTTCTCACAAGTGTACTCAGTTCAGTCTCTATTTTATATTCACCATCAGTAGTTTGTATTCAGCCGTAGGGGGAGAAGAGGAAAGAAGGCAAAAGGTGTTAATTAGCCAGAACTTCAAGACAACCAGAATAGTCAATATTTTTGTGAAACTCACAGAACTTGCATATGTTTCTCATTTTCTTTACAAGAACAAAGTGGGACAGCCCCAATATCCTAAACATCTACCAGTCCCAAACCAATATCAATTAGTTGGCCATTCTTATTAGAGCTTGTGCAAGCTGTAGCTCCAGTTGTTTGGTATCTAACATGCTTTCCTTTTGCTTTATAGTGTTGCCTCAGCATTAATGAGTGGCTGTCTGGCATGGCAAACACCAAAGCAAGTAGTATAATGCCAGCAACACTACAAGAAAATGTAACACAGGAATATAAATTAGCAGAGCAGCAGGTAGAATCTTTCAAAATATCCTCTGAACATTATATATTATATCACAATTGTAACTAGTATTAGCTAGCCTAAGCTTTGGAAAAAGGCCATGTCTAAAGCTGATACACTGAAATTTGCAGCATACCCAGAAAATCCAAACTTCACTTTCTCTTCCAGAATAAAAGTGAAGAGGAAATGTAAGAATGAGAAGTTGTTGATGGGAAGGTGCTTTAATCTTTTAAATTAATTTACCAGTATGTATGTGCATTTACAATGCACTGAGGACGTTTAGAATCAATGGTCACAGCATATGTACAACTAAACACAATGACATCCACGTGATATCAAAGTTAGAGAATCAATGAGACAAAGAAGAAGCAACATTTATTACCCATTTTCTCCACTGTTGCATTCACTGTACTGAAAAATGAACTCTCAGAGTAGAAATCTATCTGCTTTGCTTGGCTCCAAATGACTTGCTCACTGATTTAAGCTTGAAACACAGTGCCAAGTAGTGTCAGATATCAGAGTTTTCAAACACACCTCATACTTCATAAGAAGCTGAAAGATCATCACTAGAAATTGTCTGATCACTGGCAAACTATTCTGTATCACTTAGTCAGACAAACCAGCAAACATCTCCAGCCCCAGCCTAGACTGTGCATCAGGCCATGATGGCACGGTGGCCAGTAACGTGGAAACAGAAGAATCTGCAGTTCCGTTCCATGCAGCTGCCTCTTAACATTTCTGGCAAAAAGCAAAATGACCTGCCCAGGACACAAGAGACATTTCAGCAGCCAGAACAGTCAGAGAACCAAAAGCATGCCATGGGCCCACATAATGTGCATTTCTAGGCAGAGCAGTAGCTCCTATGGTGTATGGTAGTTAAAGCATCTTTATCTGAAGATTTTTCTGCAATCCTGTGACTCTGTTGCAGTAATGACTCCATCAATTATATTAGCAAAAGGTAAAATACTTGTTTTCATAACAATGTATCAAGACAGACTGAAAAACCACCTGACCTTACTTAGGATGCCCAAGCTACCCCCCACTTCTAATCGCTCACCATTAGTGCTATCCAAACAGATAAAGAAAAAGCACTTCTATAAACAGTCATGCAAAAGAAGAAGTGACCATCAACCTTCACAGAAAAAAGAAGAGGGGCATTAAAAAGGCAGGAAAACTCTGTCCAGATATTGACAGGGCTTCTTGTCCATATATTGATCAAATAACGGAGGCAAGAGGAATTGCTTTTTGTGCTCAGCAATCAGAGACTTTGAAAACATAACTGTGGTTCACTGAATTATTCAGACCTCTGCATAGTCAGATAGTTATACCATTGTTTTTCATACAATGCTATAGGCCCTAAGGAATACTTAACTATTTTCAAAATATGTCTCTTACCAGACTCTTTTATGTTTAAAGCAGAAAAAGTGCAGTGATAGAAAAATGCTGCTTTTCCATTGTGAAAGTAACTGTTTGCACTGAACTGCCTTAGCAGGCCAAATAAGAGGCCTAACTCCCTTCCTTGCTCATCTCAGAAAATCCAGATCTGGAAAATTCCTGAAGAGAGGCAGCAAGCATGAGATTTCTTTCTGAGAGCAGAAACTTGAGTCAGAGCTGTAACAACTGTTCAACCACAGCAGCTCCAGACCATCTGAGCAGCAGTTCTAGTTTCATTCTCCTTCCGAAGTACTGCCTCATTTGGTCCAGCACCACAGCAAAAGAGACCATTAACTCACTAGCAGCAGTTTGAAATTTATACAGGCCAGGGCAACCACTGCTGTCCTCTGGGAAATTACTTAATGGTCAGAACATCTATTGTATGTTCTTCTCTATGCACCATATGCTGATGTTACAAGTGTTTGGTTGATGGAAGAGAGACAAGCTCTCTGTCCCTCACCAGGAACAGGTCCTACAGTCAATAAAAGTATCTAGAGGCTTTAGATCAATCAAATCATCTTTAGAACAATGCTTCAAGTTCTTTCATCAAAGGGAATAAAATCTATTCCTACCTTGCTCTGGCAATGAAGTTCTGAAAATCTTCAGGATTCACTCCCTCCTCCTCCTCTTCCTTTTTTGGTTGTTTCTGAGCCATCTGCTTTGTTTCCTGTTAATAAGCAGTATCAGTAAGTGTCTCTAAGTTCCATGGCATAGCTACAGCACCCAGAATACAAAAAGAGTAAATATGGAGAGCCCCAGAGACAACATCCTAAGCATACACTAAAGTCCATTCCTCCATCTGACATAACTGATTTGGTGAGAAAAGGTCAAGTCTTCAAAAATGTGTGCTGTTCCTTCAGCTACACTCTTTGCTAGAACATAAGGAAGTATGGAAGGGAAAAAAAAATTAAATCATTCTTAACAGATATTAGGTGCCCTCTCCACTTTGCTGTTTCTGCCTCAGAGTTCCTCCAAACAGGTTTTTTTTGTGCATTTGTCCTAGAAGTAGATAGATAGAAGAAAGAAGGGTGAAAGTAAAAAATTCATCTTAAACAAACTGAAGGATGTCTGCAGAAAATTAACAGATTTTCTACTATAAACTAGTAGCTCTCTTGAGTTAATTTCTTTTGTCAGGAAGCAAATTACTGAGGGCTTATACGCATACCAAAATCACACTGCTTTAGCAAAAACTAAGTAAAATAGTACAGCCTATGGCAAACATGTTTATACACTGAAATATACTGGAATAAATGGTAAGCCTTTATGGGTGAAAATGGGAGCAAGTTTTCAGAAACAAATGGTCTATTTTACAACAGTAGAATTTGCTGGCACTAGAGGCTAGATTGATACAAACCTTTTTGTTCATTGAAACATCAGTACCAGCTTAAAAGCTTTATCTTGACTTCCACTTCATTTCTTCCTGCTGTTACCCTGAGCATTCTCAGGAAAAAAGGGTCAGACACATCTTTTGCAACATAATTCAAGAAAGGGAAGAAAAAGCTGGTCTGAGACATCTTTACCCTTTCCTACTTAAGTACGTGTCTGGATAATATGTGATCTGTTTAATTTGCTGGAGCTGTATTCTTTTCTTCTGTGACATTACAGATGATATGTAATGGCAAATATGAGTCCCTATTAAATCTGAAGTTACAAGTCAATTAAAGAAGTCTATATGTTGGAATCAGAAATCAAAAAATCTCACAGACTAACAAGTCTCTCCAGGGCTTAAACATGTATGCCCTGAAACCTCAAGTGATACGTTCTCACTTGTTTTAACTGAGAAAATATGTTTATGCACTGATTTATTACCAGTTGCACAGCTTTATTTTGTGAATTTATTTAAGAGTTAGCAGAAAATCCTAATGTTTGAATACAATTTGAGTGGAAATTATATCCAAAGCAGCTGCATTTTTCACTCACCACAGAGCCACCCAAGTGTTTTGTGGTTCCTCCTAACAGAGTACTTCAGTGAGCATTAGGAATACAAGGCACTCCCTGGAACAGATTTGGTTCAATACCAACCTTGATTAGACAGATCAAGTTACCAGATGTCAGTTTTGACAAGGTAATGTAAGTGAACACCCTCTCTTAATGAGCAGAAGCTTGGAGGCCTCTGCACAGCAGCCTCTGAAAGCTGAATTTCAATTACCCCTGTTCCAACACTGAAGAAATGCTAGGGGGCAAAGGAAAGGGGAAGCTTAGGTTGAAACCACTATGCTAAGAACAACACCTCCTACATTCAAACATGTGAAAGTTATTTAAATTAGGACCTGCATCTCCTTAACACTGAGCATGCAGAGTATCTTACTACAGATATGTAGCAGTCCCTCAGTATACCAAATAAATAATAAAATATATATTTCATGCTCTTCTGAATAAAACAAAATATCTTTAAAGAAGCCCCATAAAAATAAGAAGTGGGAAGAGGCATTACAAAGCACTAGAATCAAAGACAAGGCAAAGAAAAAGCACACTACCAGTTAAATTCCACTTCATTTCAGCACTTCTTTTTATGCACATAATTACTGGCCAGCACGTATTATGTAATAATACTCTTGTCTATCTGACAATTTCAACAACATACCATTATTGGATGTACAGCTGCAAGCAGATCATGTAAATAACAGAAGAGTGCCTTTGAAACAGCCTGCACAAGACAGTTTGTAAGAAGAAAAGTTAAAAAAAAAATAATTAAAAAATAATAAGTCACCTTGTTATAATAAATGATGAACTCGCCCAGCTGGCGAGCCAGGATGCGACGACGATCAACTAGTCCTATGCTGCGGCTGGGGAGCAGCAGCCTCAAGGAGTGACGAAGGTTGCTGGCAGCTCGCCTCAGAAAGCGGATGATGAGCTCCTGGCAAGCAACAGAGATGGAGTTAACAACATGCTATCTCCAACATGTGGGGAGAACAGAGATACTACAGCATCTAAGTACTGGCAGGAACTAAACACATTGTCCTGAGAAAATGAGCTGAAACTGGAAGGCTAAAGCATTCTGCAATATGTTATTTTAATACAGCCCTATAAATCCAATGTGGGGGAGAAAACCAATGGTGTATCTTGCCTGAGGTGGGTCAGAATTTGGAACACTTAAGAAGTGTTTGTCTCAAAAGCACGGCAGATAAAGGAAAAAAACAGCCAATCAGCAAAACGCAGTAACACACAATAACCTGTGATGTCCAATATCTTAAGAGAATTCTTCCAAAAACCCACCTGCAACATGTTAAACAAGGCCTGTGAAAAAGTACACTGACATAAAACTCTCTCAGCAGTACCACAGGAAAGGGGATCTTGGCCAGATATCTTCATTACAGTGGGTAGCCCCATTTCATGATTTTTCATATATATATACATACATACATATATATATACACACACACACTATTGCTACATCCTCTCCACAGCAATAGATGTCTACATCTACAGCCATGTAATTTCCAGTCCCTCACCATGTCCGTTTGACCTCTGGTGGGGAAAAACATATGGCAAGGCAGATCCTGAGGCAAGATGCATCCTGTGGGTGTTTTGAACCCTTTCTGTCCCACCTCTGGATTAGCTTTTGCTTAGGAGCTCTGCTAATGCATAAATGAGCAGCTTCACAGCCAAACTATTGGATTTCACAGCTTGCCTCCCACTGCCATTACTCCAGGCTGGTTTGATCTGTTATTTTAAACATTATTCTTCACAGTACAGCAGACAAAGTGACTCTCAAAAAGCCCGTTTTAATTTCCACTTGGAAAGAGCAGAGGTAACATTTTCCACTGAGTTGAATGATTATTCTTGACACAGAATTTTATCGCTGAACTACATTGGCTGTTTCCCTGCAACATGCACTCAGTGAGAATATATGCAGAAAGCTCAAGAGCCTACTGTCCAAAGCTCTTTTAGAAAGGTTTGTGAAGGGATCTGGGCTTGTTGTGCTTTTAAAATGCATACATATCAAACACAGGACTTTAAAATACTGCCTAGAAAAATCCATCATTTTTACTTTCTCTTCTCACTGGCTTTTACTTTAATTTCCTCTATCTAGAATGCAAGTAAGATTCATAAACACAGATGTCTGGATACATTACAACAGTACATAAGAGAAAAAGCTTAGCTGGGTACCTGTTGTATTTGAGTAGATGAATGCTTTGCTTAATGCAGCAGGAACCAGATCCTAACAAGTAATCTTACAGAATCTTCTAGAGAAGGATTCAAGAGCAGGTAAGCTCAGAAATCAGTAAAGGAGAACCAACAAGTGATCTGAGTAGCTTGAATGTCAACAAGATTTCAGTCATTAAGAGCTGTCTGTCATTGCTCTAAGGTCAGTAAGCAGTTCTACCTCATCTGTATGTTTAAAATACAGCACTGGCAGCTAGACAAAAATGAACAACCATCATCTCAGTTGAACTTCTGTACTCGCAAGGATGGGAACTGACCTCAAAACTCTCAAGGTAGATTTCAACTTGGCTTCTCACTCTGGCCAACACAAAGCTTCTTACCATTTGCTCATCCTCTTTGGCAACCCAGGCAGGATTCTGGACCTGCTCACCAGCATTCTTCATCAGTCGGAGCTGAACATGCTGTAGATAGGCAGAGAAAGCTGTACGAGCTTGTACTTTGCTGTGGACAAAAAGAATCAATCAGCTATCTTCAGAATAGGAATGGGAAGTGTTACAGAAGTCAGGCACAGCTTATGGACCAAAGTACAGTCAGCAAGGACCTTCTAAGTGCACTAATGCTGAAGCTCAAAGAAAGGAGGACCCTTTCACCCCATCAGCATTTTTAAGCAGACATTCAGTTCACCAAGAAGGGGTAGGTATTCCAGGAGGTAAAAAAGATAGTAGACACTCTCTAAGATAAATTCTAAAAGCAGAATGTTCTTCATGCCTTTTTCAGCCTTGGTTACCCTCCTCTAAAAGCCACATGGACATCAGCAAAACTGTTTTTAAAACAAATTCAAGGCTCTACTGGGCCTCTGTTTTCACAAACATTTTGAACACCACAACAACAGACCATAAAATAAACAAAGGGCTTGGTACTGGTGCCAGAGTTATAACAAAGGCCCTGTAATTCCCATTGGAAATGAAAGAATTAAATCTGTGAAAGTGAGCTCTTCCCCTGCTGGCTCAGGAATACAAGCCAAATTTCATTGAGCAAGGCACCACTGAGGAATGAAGGAACATCAGCAAAATCTGCTGTGCAGCTGGCTGAACACATTGGGAAGCTGTTAGCATGAACTGAGGAGAGGACTGGGAGGGACACATAGCTTCTCATTTCCTCACAATAGTAGCCACTTTAGTATATGCATCTGTTGTGAGAGAAACTGCTGAAAGCTCTGCTGAACTCTGTTCACTGTCCTCTTGGTCTAAACCTATCCTCAAACATTCTGCTCTCCAAGCCTCTGCTCATCCTCATAGTTTCCCCCACGGCTGCTAGAAGCTTTTTATAAGGATATAGCAGATATTGGCTTTAGTATCAGCAACAGATTTCCCTTTCTTAGGGAAAATCATTAGAAAGTGTCTTAATATGTTCTGTAGAATTTCAAGTTTAGTCTTAAACAAACTAGAGTTTTGAACCCATTACTTTCCAGAAATATTATTCCAGAACTTAATGTTCTAATGAATAGGAACTTCCTCTCCCTACCCAGCCCAGCTTCACTTATGAGTAGTTTATAGTTGCTTTTGCTTTCTCCAATGTCCTGTATCTTAAATATAATCCCTGATGGGTCTTCACTTTAAATGTCTTTATTAACAGTTACATCCTTTCATAGTTTTCATTTTATTAGTGTGAACTATCCACATCTGCCAGTGTCTTCTAACAAAGCACCCACAAGGGTGACATGATGAGCCAGCAGCTCACCTCCACCTGTGTGCCACTCACAACTTGCCTTCCATGCATATGGGTGATACAATACTCCACATGAAGTCTCAGAAGTATGTCAAGTGATAAACCCTGGAACACATTTGGTGTTTTCATGCATGCATGAGCTAGGGATTCACAAACTTCCTCTGATCAACCAGCATGCAAGATATTTTTCCTTATAATTAATTTCTAGTTGATGAACACCCAGCAGAGAGAACTTCTGCTGTAAATTATTAGTTCTTATAAGCATCCCATTGTACTTTGTGCTACTGAATTTCATCCTAGTTACATTATTTATATCCTCAAGGTCATCCAGTTTTTCTCATATTTAGTCCACCACTTTTTTCTCATGGTAGTAACACCCAAATATTTTCCATCAGCTAATTTCATTAGCTCATTTGTACATTTTGTGTCATTCTTGAACTGATAATCAGTATCAGCCTCAGACCGATTCCTGAGGAACTTCACCATATTTTTTTCTACCTGTTCTCTGCTTCTTACGAATATTCTCAGGTACTTACATGGTCCTTATGACTCCAAGTACTTGAGTCCCTGATATGCTATTAAAAACTCTGCAGCAATTAAGTCTTTTTGGTTTATAGGTCTTCAAATTTCAGGAACACTATGTTACAGTGTTACACAGAAACCATACTGTAGCAACACTTATAGAAATCAATGCATCAATTTAAGTAAGAACTGAAGTTAAAGTGCATTGGAAGTATCCATATATCAGCTTAATCATCAACTTTTGATGCTTCTGGAAGGTCACACAGGGCCAAAGAGGGGCTAAGCCAATGACAAGTACACAAGAGTCTCAAGCTAACATCCCCTGTTAATAGCTGTACTGCAGCAACTCAAACATGATGAAAATACCTGGTTACAATTTCTGTCTTCCAGGAACTTCAGTGAAGTCCAGAATACACAACAGGCCTTGTAACATCTCTGGGCTCAGTATGCTACTAGTCACTACATCTACCTTTTCTTTCTCCATGTGTGGAATATTGGGAGAACTCTCTGAATCCTAGCTGAGAACTGGTACTCTCTATATCAGGCCACCATGTATTAGAAAAGGCTCTCACCTCAGCTCGCCACAGCTGTCAGGCTTGGTTTAGGTACAACTCAAACATCTCTGTTCAAAATTTGTTGATAAGGAGCCCCCATTATCAACATCAGCACAATAATACAGGTCTTGGCCTGCACCTGATACTTCTATGACTAAAAACTAAAGAAGGTTTTTGTTTAATACTGCCTCTCCTTTGGTGTCATTATCAATCAGGATATTGAAACCTGAGACCTCAAATGCAGGAAAAAGTAACTTCCTTTTCATTTTACTTCCTTGGGAATGGCACAGCTGGGGAAGCAAGCTTCCTTTGACTGTCGTTTCTTCACCAGTAACACCCAATATGTGGAAGGTAGATGCTTCCTCATCGGGTTGACTAAAGGAGAAAGAAGTCCTACCACTTACGAAAACTGACTAGAATGGGCCTGGTTTCTCTTGGATGAACACTTTATTACTTCAGCTCCTCTGCCTGTTGAGCCCACAAGCAAAGCTTATATCAATGATAGATCAGATGGCAGCACAGTCTCAGAACATGAGGTCACCACAAGCCTTATACCCTTCTGTGGGGAATCCCAACAGTGCTGAGGTGCTGTGAGGGTGCTGAGCAAGATTCTGCCAGGAACATCAGACAGAGCTTATGTTCTTGGCAGGAGTCAATTCTATATATAAGTAGATATAGGCACAGCATTGCAATGTTTATCCTCAAAAGAGGTTTCAGAATCTTCCCCATCACAACAGCAAATGTCCTTGCCACAACTAGACATCAGAACAACCCCCAAACCTATTGAAGAATCCATAGTTTCTCCCAGAAATTAATCTAAGAAAACAACAAGAAACATTTACTCTACCTTTGGACATTTTTCACAGAAAACATAATGCTGCTTCTTTACCTAGAAGATTTAAAGCTGTCCTACACAGACATATATGATCATGCTTTCTTTTTGCACTTTCTGTCCATCTGCAATTAGACAGTTTTGCTACCCACATTCAAGGGATCATATTTCAAAACATCTAGTTAAGACCTTGCTTGGTGTTTTTCTATAGAATCTCCTCCAGCACATCTCTTTTTTTCCAAGAAACAGAATGCACCAGAACATACTCTATTCCACACCATCACACCAACAACATGCAATGAAATGTTCCAGTAACTTGTTGCTCCCAAATTACCTCCTAATCTTGTTCTCAGAAGGCAATGACCCCGAGCAAAGATTACTACCAGAGGTAAAAATTCTAACATCAAAAATAAAAGTACAAAAATGAGAAAACTAATTTTATGGAGAGACAGCACTGAGAGATTCCTATCCAACTGTTCTTGGATAATTTAACATATGTCTATAACCACTTCTTGGCAAATACGAAGAACGAGAATAAAAGATTTAGAATTCAGTAGCAGGCATCCTGCATTAAGGCAAAGAGGTATTTTAGAAGCCTGAGCTGACAAAGAACAGCTTACACCATCAGATTAAAGAACAGCAATGGAAACTATAGGGTCATGCTTCACACTGATCCAATAGGTCAGGCATTTAGGTAAACTGTCAAGACTTTGCAATGGTCTCCCTTCTCTGCCCACAAGATGTTAAGGCAGCCCACAGTTAGACAAAAATCCAGGCCACTTTTCTAGGGTCTTCTTAGCTCTTCACACTCATAACATGCATCCTCCATATTTTAACTCGCATTAGCTTCAAGTCAAAATTAGAGGCAATATGCAGAAAACTCTCACCTCAAGTTTCCTTGCTTTTGAAGAATCTGAAGCAAGTTAAACTGAGATTTAGGATCTGGTTTTTGCAGAAGCAGCTCTTCTGCATCTTCAGTTTTCTTGCTATGTTTTTTTTGTAACTTCTCCTTACAAGTAGTTTTCACTGAGTCAGAGAACTTTGGCTTGTTTTTCACCTGGGTGTCCGAAAGACAGCAGATAGTTCTATCTACCTCTTCATCTTCATCTGCATCCATCTCCTCTTCCTCCTCACCTTCTGTGTCTGACTTGAGGGACAGCTTTGTTGGTTCTGATGTGCCTGTAGAAGAGGAGAAATCCCTTATGCTGGTGTGGAGAGGACTGTTCTACTATTTATACCCTTTGGTTTACCCCTAAACTCTTTTCTGCTGGAAGGACAGAACTGCATCTTAAGTATGACTGTTCTATATTCATTCTGCCCTTCTGCTTGTGCATCAAACAGTTGAGAAGCCCATTTTCCCAATATTACAGAATACAGACCAAGATTCTTCTTTTAACCTTACAAATGAAAAAAAGAATGCCCACCCAAAATCCAAGAGGCAAAGACATTTTCCTATATTTTATCCTGATTCTTACATGTATACTGACATATATACACCCATACTTGAGATATATATATACACACACACGCATATTTTTTGTGTGTTGTGTGTCAAATGAAAAAAAAATACAAAATCTAAACTTCCACATGTGCCAATAAAGACCATCTACCTTAAGAGAGCAGCAAAAATCATCTTATAACATCCAGTCTTTCCTATTGCAGTCAGTATCACACAGCTATTAGAAAAAGTTTAGATAAAGGCAGGAACAGTCACTTGTGGGGATCATTCACCTCTGTACCCTTTTAAGTTTTCCCAACATCAGCTTGGATAAAGATTTCTCTCCCCAACAGCTTAAGAGACACAGCTGTCTAGGAGAACTGATCTGAAAGGTTCTATCTTTCTCTGAAAAGCTGAAGAATTAGAGGCACACACACCATTGAAGTCTTTACCCAAAATGCAACAACAAGCTCATTTCCAATTAAGCACTGATTGATTACCTTTAATCATATACAGGAGGGTGTGGAAAGGTGGGAATGTAATTCAAGGCACTAAACAAGCAAGAAGCTCAGAATTAGAATGAAGAAAAAATTATCAACATTTGAAACCGAACAACCCCATTCACAGACATTGCAAATGAGAAAGAAAGTCCTTTGCTTGTTTGTTTTTGACTAGCTGCTCATCTAAAACTGTAGCCATGCATACCTGATGCTCTTGTCTGTGCTGCTCTAGCCTTGCCGTATCGCCGACGCTTCCGTAACTCCAGTGAAATAAGCTTTCTCTCATAAAAGAGAGCATGAGAGTCCACAGCTTCCAGCCTTCCATTGAGACCTGCTCTGGGAAACATAGTACAGAGACATCCCTCAGTTTCCCTTTGTCTTTCTGTCCCTGATGATACAAGAGACCTAGCAGATCAAGCTTCTTCAAAGAACATTCTTCCTGATACAGGGAAAAAATATTTACCATCAGTCTAATTCTGCTTTTTTTAAGCCTGTACATGTTAGAAGAAAGTCTTGTACATACTTCACAGAACATCATCTCTCAAAGCCCCGAGACTCACTCACCCAGTGTCACGCCTCCATGACTGAGCAGCATCTGCCCATCATGCAACAGCTCAGGGCACAAATAATAGAGGAAATTGCAAGAGTACAAAACAACAAGGGGAATGGAAAGAGAGCACATTGACACAAATCCAGCTGTCTGAACCATTTATGTAGACAGCTTGTTCTTCACTGATAAGATACAAGAATTTTAACATAATATAAATGGAAAATGCCAAACTTCCTACAAGTTCTACCTAAGTCAGGGGACAAGGAGCCCTACCAGATTCCTTAATGGCATCTGTTACAAAAGTAACAACTTTCTGCCAGTGCACAAAGACCCAAGAAAGCGTTCCCTATGATATAGGTGGAAACAAGCACAGAAAATGCTCATTGTTTCATTTATTATTTTAGAGCTAGCAAAGTGAATATGAGTATATGAAACCCTTGTGCATTACAAGATCTTTTGAGAGAGCTCAGTGATGAGGCTTATCAATATGGCAGGAATACCAAAGTGAGAAACCTATGAGGAGAAATTTTAAGGTGCAATGAAAACATGAGTTCTCCACATGTGGGTACATTCTTTTCTCACTGTATTTAGGTTTCTAACATTATTTTCATGGATTTCAGGTAGAAAAGGTGTTGACTCACAACCTGAAAGATGAAGCTAAGGAAATCTAAATTTAGAATAAATACTACAAAGCACAAATTAATTAAGCAGCTGCTTACCGGGATCTTGCAGTGATGAACTCTCTTTTCATCTTGCCCCTATGAAGAGAAAAAGGTTAAAAATTACTCTCCATACTGGATCAACCTTGATTACAAAACCTCCCTAGTCTTTCACATATGCAATGGAAAGACCATTTTTACAGAATTACTTCTGAGTTCTATCTTAAAGAAGGAAAAAAAAAGGGCTCCAAAAGAGGAGCCCTGAGCAGCTGTACAATTCATGTTTGCATTTGTCTGGCTTAGGCTGGAGAAGGCATCATTTAGAACTACTCTTCAAGACACATCCCTGAACATACACAGAGAAAAAAAAATCACAGTGTTGATGTGGGAAGAACTTCTGTAAATATTGTCTCCTTTCTCAGCCACTTTGTCTTTACTTAGTAGTTACTTCATAGTGGATCTCAAATTTGCACAAGAAGAATTGTTGAGAAGGGAGGGCATTAAACACACAGTGAAAGGCACTGCATACAACTCTTGGTGGGAGCTTATCCAGTGGCATGAACTGTCATTTCCATGCAACCACAACCCAGAAAAAGAATCATCAAATCATGATTGCACAGGTCAAGACACAGGGATATTAAAACGCTGAAGAAGTCGATTTCAGGGCTAACTTTACATGAAGACAAGCTTTAATGCAATTTGATATTTGAAAGCCAGGACAACCTATAATCCCTTCACAGAGGAACCTAAGTGCTTTAAGTTTTTTCATGTCTACAGTTACATTAGTACTCCAGTGATTCCCATTTTGAGTATTGTCCTTTTTGCCCTTGGTTTCAGAAGAGCAACACAAATACATGAGCAACAGTCATTGGCACACTAGAGAAGAGACACACAATTATCACCACCCCTATAAATCCCTGACTTGTGTTTATAACATGGGATAAGTGAGGAATCAATCCTTTTTGTACTGTTTGTGCCCTTTACCTCTCTCCCAAACAGAGAAGCTTTCTACCTGTCCTTAAACAGACGTGTAGCCAGCATGTAGTTCATTGATGTCTTGTGCTCTAGAAAAGACCTAGGAAAAAAAAAAAATACAGTATTATCAAGACAGAGCTCTGCTCAATGAAAGGCAGCATAATACAGAAATAAATGACCTCTAAAAAAAATTCCCAAAGTAGATTTATACAACATACTGAACCACAACATAAAAGAGGAAAGGAGAAGAGCTCTCATTTCTCAGTTGAAGTTCCTGGTGATGCAAGAGATGGAGAAAACATTACAGACTAGAAAAATAAACTTAGGAAAGTATAATACAGTGTAACCTTCAGAATGAGTGAGTTCTGTATGGTGTTTATGGCCTAATGACAGGCATACACAGTATGCAGCTTGAGGATGTAAAAGTAGATAGCAAAAATCTGAAAGGAAGACACTTTTATTCTAACAGAAAAGCAATACCAGAAATAATGTCCAACAGCTTTCCACGGGGTGCAGTTGTGCAAAGCAGCAGCTAATAAAAACAAGCAATCAGATAAAAGAATATTCAACACTAAAACAAATTCTGCCAGAACTTTCAATACATCCTTTTGAATGCCAAGATGGCTGACCTACACACATCTAACACAGAATATCCCTCACCACGGAGCATCAGTGCCATCCTGTTAGATCTTTATTCTTACCCATAAAGGTCCCATGTTAATGGAGTAGGGAATATCCGGATGAAGCCTCCTCTCCGTTCATTTTCCTCTCTCACTCGCCGAAGAACTTTGATCTGATTAAAAAGAAAAAAAGAATTTCAGAAGGACTATTCAGTCCTGCAAACGGACTAGTAGGTAACAATATCCTTAAGGAATTTTGTCTTGCATTTAATTCTGAAGAGTCTATCATTGCTTCAAGAACATCTCTGCTTGGCATGATTGAGGGCAAGGGCAATACCAGCAGTAAAACTCAAATTCTGTTCCAAAAATGATACTACTTCTGTCACATTTTTCATTTACATGCACTTGCTCTTTGTTGAGCAAATAATCCCACATACTGCATGAAAGCCAAGGTAAATAAAAGCTATTTAACAGCCTCCTTACCTCCTCCATGGAGAGGCCTAGCACAGAGCTGGTGTGCCTTCCTGTTCCTTTTTCCCTGCCTAAGGGCATTGAGCTTTTAAGTTCAGCATCGCTGGCAGACAGAGGACGGGTACGCTGTAGAGACAGTGTGAATTCGGATTTTTTTTCCCCTCTCTCTATTTTCATATTAAAAAAAATTACATTTAAATTCCAGGACCCCATTCCCAGCAGCATCTACACTCCTGAGTAGATCATTCAACAAGAGGTGTTGAAATTCTGCACTATAGCCAGAATTCACAATTCCACAGCCCAGCTGTTGAAGAGTCCACACCCCAGCTGTCACTAAATGTGAGTATTCAGACTCTTAGATTTTAGCACAGAAAGCACAATTCAGGCATCACCACCAGTACTTACACCCCTGGCCCCTTCTGGAAGAACAGGAGATATACCAAAAACATCCAAGTCCGAATGTCACACAGGAAAATCCTTACCCAAGGGGCGCTAGAGTCAGCATTCACAGGACCCAAATACACTTGGATTCACACAACAATAGTACCAGAACCATGATTCTCTGTTCCAGCTGTGTTGCTACACTAGAACAACAGAACTGTAATTCCCTGGTAGGATAAATGTTGGAAGGAAAAGTTCTCCACCTGTTATTCTTTTGTTACTATACTGCTGAAGGTCAACTTGCTACTTCTCAAACTTAACAGACACATCCTGCAGATGTATATAGTTACATTATGCAAATTTGCATAAATATGCAAATTTTTTTTAATAAGGAAAGCAATTCATTTGCAGTGTCACTAAGTTTATTTTTAACCTGACGGGTATTCCTGGCCAATTCTAACAAAAGGACAGGAATTCAAAATGTCTTCAAATTATCAGGATTATAAAATTTTAAAATTCAAGCAAGAAAAATCTTTGAACTTTTTCTCAAGTACATTTAAAATGGTCTTAGGCTCAGTTTCTATAAACTACCTCCATAAAAACAGCACTAGAAGAGTCCACTGAGGTCTCAAGCACTTACACTAAATTCCAAGTTTCTTTTAGCTCTATACTGAGCAAAGAATGCATAGAGAGCCTTAATCTAGAAAGAAGAGAAAAACATGACAGAAACCTTAAGGTGGATATGTCCAGGGGAATATCCCATACTGCTCAGATACAAAAAAAAATCCATGGTAAGATCAGGATGCATCTATATTTTATATAATAAAGACTATGGGAACTGAAATCCATTCTCTCTGTTTCATTAGAAATGGCAAGTGGCTATTCAGAATCTGTAGATGAAGCAACAGCAAAAAAGCAACAGACATTGCACTAGAATAGGTTATACTGCAGATATTGGCACAGAAAAATCCAAAGATAAAACAGACATAGCAGGTACCAGCTGAAATATTTTGTTAAGCCTAACTAAAACCAATTAAAAAGAGAAAACAAGATAATTCAGATGAGAAGGCAGGAGACAAACATGCGCAGAATAAATAAAAATGCCAGCAATAAAACAGGTTTGCTTGATGCTGTAGATGGCACTAAGTTGAAAGATTTTAGAGTTCCTTTCTAAACTTTCTTCCATTTCAAATTCACAGCTCAAAAACTTTTCTTAACAACTTCCTCTAAAATCTGATAGGAAACCTCCTCTTAAAAACCATTTCCTGGCACTACCATAACAATCCATCATCATGTGAGAACTACTGCTCAAAGAGAGTATTACAGGAAATTCTTCATCGTATTAAATGATCTGCTTTACCAAGGAAACACTTCAATGGAATCATCTCCATTGTCACAACACAACAGAGATGATTTCATTGATTACAAACATTAAATGTATGTCTACATATTGGCAGCTCTGACTCCCCCCCGAGAACAAAGCTACATTGCTGTCAAAATGGTAGAGAAAACTCCATCTTTGCTGGACTTCCTGCACAAACAGTTTTTTCCATGTTTCACTTCAGAACACCCTCTGGCTGTAGCACAGAAATGTCTCCAACTTCACGAAGATCTTGTTTCCTCTTCGACCCAGCTTATCTATAAAACTATAGATAAATCCAACCACACTGGTATGTCTCCAAATTCTGCAAGTATCCTTGGTTCCCAAATCATGATTCCAATTTAATAAGCACTGACAGCAGTTGGCATAAAAATCCTTCCTATTCTCTACAAAATCTTGTTATTCAGTAAGACTTTCCTCTGAGCCTCAGCTAAACTTACTCAGAACGACAAACAGCAGTGAATAGACTGAATTAGGTTCTCAAGATGTTCTACCTTCGCTTCCTGATGGGGAAAAGCCGTTTAAAAAATAAAAAAATAAAAAAAAGAATAATTCCCACTACATTTGTGCAGGAAGCTCAGTTGCAAAATGATGCCTAACATGTCCCCACATGGCCAGGTGCTTAGATTCGTAAACAAATACTGAGTTGTCTATATGGCTTGCAAGAAGGGTGACAAACATAACATAGATCAGTCTCACTTAGGCTAACAATAGTCCCCTATTTTTCCATTAACTTTAAGAAATCTTTCTTTTCTCTGCATCTATTTTAACCCAGTTCACTCTCCAATTTTTGCAGTGTCCTTCAGAGGACTGTCTCACAGAAAATGATTACGTCTCTTGTAAAGCCACCTGAATTTTGTCTGCATAGATTCTCCTGTCCTTCGGAGACTTGTGCATTCAGACTTGTAGTCTTAAAAACTTGGAGGGATTTGATCCAGCTGACCTTGACTCTCAGCACGCTTCACCTACTTTTTTTTTAAGCTGTTAGAAGTGATGTAAACATTTTTTCAACATTTGCTTTTGCCACATGGAAACAGCTGGTGCCATCTCCTCATGTTGACTTCCTTCTCACCCTTGCCCTTGCCCCAGGCTGCTTTAACTGTAAAATATATCTGGGGACTAATTATGCCAAAAGCATTCTACACAGTAACATTTGAAACCATAGACCTTATACAGGCAATGGGAGCTGAAGGGTACCTACCAGTCTGCTGTTTGTAACTGTGCAGACCAAGGACACTGCAAGACACACATTAAGAGAATAAAAACCTTGTGTTCTCCAAGACACTATGTTCCCTGCCCAACTTGTTGAGGACTGGCAAGTACCCTAAACAAAACAGTATAAGCAAAGGGTGGTAAAACACTGGAACAGGTTGGCCAGAAAAGTTGTGGATGCCCCAGCCTTGGAACTGTGCAAAGACAGCTGTATAGGGCTTAGAACAACCTGGTCTAGTGGAAGGTGTCCACTGCAATGGGGTTGGAATTTGATAAGCTTTACAGTACTTTCCAGTCTGAACCACTCTACAATTCTGATAACTGAAGTCCAGAGATAAAGCTAAACATTTATATCATCTCAGTTGTGATCTTCCTCATATCCTGCACAAAGGTATCCTGTCCCCATTCCAAACACAGCACTCATTCTAACCTCAGATGTGCTCAACTGTACAGAGTACATCTGGACACATGGTTTTCAAAAGCACACTGAACTCAATGTGATGACCAAAACTCATATTTTTGTAAAGTAAGAGTCATTCATATAAAAATATTTAATAGCTATGCACCAAGGAAAAACAGATGCTGTCAAGTAGAACTGTTCATAGAGCGGGGGGGG